TGGCTGAGCGCTTGGGCGTCTAAAGGAGGGTGAGGAGTGCGCGACCCACCGGGAGGGACCCGGCAGGTCCGCGGGCATACCTGGGTAACTGTCAGGTAGGACTGGCGAGATCAGAGCCCGGTAGCCTTGCCCCGGGAGCCCTGGGAGAGAAAGGGGAGCGTGAGCTCTTGCCTCTTTCTCCTCCCCCTCTCGGTGCCGCGGCCCCACCCCCGCCGTTGCCACGGTTTCCCTCTCCTGAGTGGGAGTGGAGCGGAGCTCCTGGCTCTGCTCCGGAGCCGCTGCCGTCTGCTCCCCGCGCGCGCACGAGGCGTGGACGCGGGAAGGGAGGGGCGCGGGACTGGAAGCTCTGAAACCCAGCGGAACAAGATTCACCCGGTGCGCCCCCTCCTCCTCCTCCTGCCTACTGCTCCTAAGGGGGGGTGAGGGAGGTAAACTGAGGCTGACAGGAGACAGGGTTAGTTTGTTAGTCGCTGCCTCTAGTAGCGTGGATGTTCCAGAGCCAGTTTAGTCCTCAAATAGCACCGGCTAGTGTGGAGTGAAGTCATTATTCGTGGTGTGACCCTCCTTGGACAGCAGGGCCATTCCTCACTTGCCACCCCTATACTGGAGATTAAACCCAGGGTCTCAAACACTAGGCAAACACTCCACCACACCACTGAGCATCCTCTGCCCTCTTGTATTTTGAGACAGTCTCACTAAATTGCCAAGTTAAAATGAAACATAGTGGGTAGACCATTTAGGCCTTGAACTTGCAGGTCGTCCTGCTTCAGTAATCTCCCTTGTTTTAACCATGCCCAGATAGCTAAATTAACTGTACGTGGACTGCGCAGCATTACTGTAGATGCATTTTACGCAAGCATTCCTCGAGTGGAAAGAGAGACCAGGAACGCCCTGCTCTGCTTCAGTACTCTCCAGCCCTGCCAGAAGGCCAGGTCTTGGTGACTTCGAGTGAGAGAGAGTAAGACGCGAGCCTGCGTTGCCTAGACGCCTTGAGAGGAGTGCCTAGGTGTGGCCTGGGCCTTCTGAACTTGGCATCCCTGCACACTGGGATTGGACCAAGCGAGGGAGGCTGTGTAACGACTCCGAAGTACAGCTGTGACTCATAGACCTACAATACCCAGAGAGGGGGTTGTCACAAAAGAGAAAAGTGGGGAGCTCACAGCAAGGCTGCTGTTCCTCCTCTTGCTTCCTGTAGCCAGGTGTAGGTGTGGGGACTTAGTCACGAGTCCACTGTGCCCCTCGCCCTGACAAGTCATCGAACCCTCAGGTTGGTGGTCATTCTTGGGGCGACTCTAAACTAGTCACTGACCGAGGGGATTGCTGCCGAGGCTCCCCCAAGACCTTGGCTTATAAGCAGTGGGAGGACCTCTGAAGAGTCTGAGCGCTAGATCGGCCACTCCCTTGCTCAAATCTCTGACACCTGAGAGGCCCTCCCCTGGGAAGGGCGCTTCTGCTGAGCTGGGAGGACCCAGACTGGGACTCAGGCACACCCGATTCCCTGTTCCGCCAGTGAGGACCCATCAAAGCCCTCAGGGAGAGGCTGCTCGAAAGAGGACCTGGGTGCAGTATAGGTAGCCCTGCAGGGGTCAGGACATCAAGGACAAGCCGAAGTTAGCTATCCCTGCAAGTCATCGTCCTCTCCCACCCTAAGGGTTGGCATCTTGGGGAGCCTCCAGGAGAAGGTCCAGATGGCCTCTCATGGCCTTCCAAACTCTCAGGCTGTGTCTTCCAGGCTTTCCCAACCCCCAGCCCGCCGGGGCCTCCCCGAAGGCAAACAACCCCGGAGCCTGCAGATAAGCCTGGAGCTGTTGACAGAGGCTGCCTGCGTCTGCGTGGAAGGGCCAGGAACGGACTTTGCCTCACAGCAGGCCCCACAGCACGCCTGCCCAGGCTGCCCTATAAGGGCTTCCCCAGGCAGAGCGGGTCACACTGACTTGTTAGGATGCAGGGGAAAAGATGGTGGTAGCACTCTAGGGCTACCTAGCCATTGTCTCACAGCCAACCCTGAGGTCCTAGAAGGCCTGCCTCAGCCATGCTCTCTGATCTTCCCTTTTGCTTCCCAGCGCTTGAACTGTCTGCTCAGAACAGGGCATGTAGGGCTGGGTAGCTTTGCTCCCTCCAGCAGTCTTTCCTCGATAGAAGGAAAATTCAGCAACAGGAAAGCTGAGCAAGCCAAGGGAGGAGCTAGAGACTACTCCAAGGGCAGGTGCTGTGACTCTGAGGCCTTGGCTGTCTCCTCAGACAATTATGAGGGTGACCCAAGCAGAAGAGAGGGCGTTTGGTTCTTATGTGGTTTTATTCTCTCAGTAACTCAGGCTAGGTAAGGAGACCTGGATGCTGTCCCCTCCTGGACTCAGAACCCCCACACATCATTTTCCACTAATTATAGAGCAGAATTTAGGTTAACAGACTTCCTTTTTAAAAAGCAAATGCCCATGGGAAGGTGAAGTCGTGGGTCACTTATACCTTAGTGAAAATCGTTTTGTAAATTTAAATTGATTGCTCTCCCGACCATCACCACAGGGAGTGCTAGTTTGATAGGACAATTGGAACATGGGGAGGGTGTTGGGCTGGTAGAAGTTTCAACCAGAATTGGTGACTATAGAGTGGTGGCTCTCAACCTTCCCTTTCTTTTCTTCTTTCTTTCTTTCTTTCTTTCTTTCTTTCTTTTCAACAGGCTTTCTCTGTGTAGCCCTAGCTGTTCTAGAACTAGCTCTTGTAGACCAGACTGGCCTTGAACTCACAGAGATCCGCCTGTCTGCCTCCCGAGTGCTGGGATTAAAGGCGTGTGCCACCACCTCCAGGCTGGTTCTCAGGCTTCCTAATGCTTCAACCCTTGAATACAATTCCTCATGTTGCAGTGACCCCCAACCATGAAATTATTTTCATTGCTACTCTAATCTTGCTACTGTTATGAATTGTAAATGTCTATGTTTTCCGATGGTCTTAGGCAACCTCTGTGAAAAGTTCATTAGTCCCCCAAAGGGGTCAAGACCTACAGGTGGAGAACCTCTGTTAAAGAAGCAGGGAATAGGATGGGAACTAAAACAGAGTAAAGGATGTAGTCTGGCAGGAAATAAGCTGTCTGTGTAAATGGGAAGAACTGATGTTCCCAAGGCTTCCAAACAGAGCCTAGACAGAGCTGGGACTACAGCACAGCAAGTCCCTACCTATGGAGACATGCTCCCTGCTCATCTGTAGGGGTGAGAAATTATCAGAGGGTCCTCCTGTGTCATCATCAGGGAGTCCTGGACACAAACCTCTTGGCCTTTGCACCAAGTGTCCAAGTAGGGCATGGCTGTGTGTTGGTTGGTGGAAGCAGCCAGACCATGGAGGGAAAGCTGGGCCATATCTTCCCTGCTGTTGTTTATGAGTCAAAATCCTCACCCGACAGCCCAAAAGTGGTCCTCTAGCAGGCTTTCTGAATGCATTCAATTGTGAGTGCGTTATATTCCCTGCAGAAGGACTCACTCTTAAGAGGGAACATGGCAATGAATTGGCTTCCACAGCACTTACATCAACTGGTTCCATGTTTGACCTTATCTGTTATTGGCACAGGAGCTACGCCTTGTCATAGAAAACCTCAGGAGGCATCGGGGAGGCTCAGCTGAGATAATGGACATGGAAGCTCTTTGTTACCTACACAATTAGAATCTGCTGCACTTTGCTCATATGAGACTCACAAAACCAAGCCAGCAAAGAGACAAGTTGATACTGTTATCGTACATTAACCAATCAACTAAGTGGTAGTATATACATTATTTTTTTTTTTTGAGACAGGGTTTCTCTGTGTAGCTTTGTAGACCAGGCTGGCCTTGAACTCAGGTAGATCCACCTGCCTCTGCCTCCTGAGTGCTGGGATTAAAGGCATGCGCCACCACCACCCTGTTTATATACATTTTAAAAGATCTATCTCAAATGTTTCTCAAGCTGGCCTCAAATTTCTGGGTTTATACAATCTTCCCTTTTCAGCCTCCCAAGCAATTAGGACTGCAGACATATGCCACCATGTCTAATCAACCCACTTCTACCAGGCTCCTTTTCCACCTGCAAAACTTCTCACTGAAACCACAAGACCCCAAAAGGATGGATAGTTTGGTTCCCTCACACAGCCCAGCTGGCCCTCCCCCCAGGATGACTACAGAACTAGATGTATACCGATTAAGTTCATTCTTTCCCCCACTCTGCCCTACAATTTTTTATTTACGAGACTGGGTTTCTCTGTATAACAGCCCTAGCTGTCCTGGAACTCACTTCTGCAGACCAGGCTGGCTGGCCTTTTGAACTCAAGGATTCACCTGCCTCTGTCTCCTGAGTACTGGAATTAAAGGTGTAAGCCACCACTGCCAGGCTTCCCCCAAAATTTGTTAGGCTTTTCAAATCACCTGAGCCTTTCACCATTAAACTCATCCTTTGGATGCAGGCAGTGGTGACAGGCCTTCAGGTCCATTTCAAAGATCAAAGCCTTCACAACACCCTATAACTGTAAATTGTTTCACTTTGTAAAAGTGGCCTGTCATATGATAGCCCATTTTACCCCCAGAAGGAAAATATAGAAACTACTAGAATGATTGGAACATGGTGAAGAAGTTGGGCTGATAGAGAGCATAAGCCAGAGCCTGGGAGTCCGGAAGCAGAGCAAGAGGATGCTAACTTCTCTGAGCCTTGATTTCCTTGTGTAATGGGCTGCCAGCAGCCCATGTGCATTCATGCTGCGTGTGGGCATCGTGATCCTTGTGATTCTCAAGCTGAATGTGAGAGAAGAGTTTTAGGATGCTTCTGCTAAATACATGCTACATACATCAGCCTCCTGGAATTTTACTTGAGGATTTGGGAGGAAGAGAGTTTTATAATAAAACTTGGATTTATTATGCAGCAAAATGCAAACCTTGTATGTATTTAAAGATTTATAAAAGGAGTTTTGAAAGATGTCATGTTTCTAGTGGGTTGCTTCTGGCTACACCCCCAGATCCCTGGGGATTGGACATGTGATCACGCCCTAGTGTGCCATGTTGGGAAAGTGAGAACAGTGATGACTGTGGGAGGATTAGAAGGTGCCTGGTGTGCAGTAGGCAGTCAGTAAATGGTGGCTCGTGTTAGGGCAGCCGCTACATCCTCAGGAGGAAACAGGCCCACACGGATGATAGCACTGCTTGAACTCACTGAGCTAGAAAGTGAACGAAGCCAGAACTGGGAGCAACTGCTCACTCCTAACCCAGTGCTTGGTTGTCACCAGCCCCTCTTCATAGGCAAGGCTTTTGGTCAGTAAGCTACCTCATTTCTTAGCACTCCCTTTTGGCAAAGAGGCCAGTTCCTGGGTTCTAGTAATCCCTCTAAAAGACAAGCATCTGTGGGAAAAGGATTCAGACAAGACTCATACATGAGCAAATCCCTGCCATTCAAAGAGAAGACACAGGACTGCTGAGTTTGGTGGAAAGATCCAGGGTGTGAGAAGCTTTCAGGATTGGGTGGAAGCCAGAATAATGGCCTTGAGGCAAGAGATAACACCCCCAAATCCCTACATTTACCTACAGTTTTATCTAAGAGGACAGGCCTCAGCTTTGCATTTCATCTTCAGGCCTTAGGTTTTTCTAACCAGATCACAACCAAGGATGCCTTGGGCTTTTGTCTTTGTCAGCTAGTAAGAAGTGTGTGGGATTCAAGGGCAACTAGAGGGTCTTTTCATAAGCCCTGGAGGCTGTCCTCCCTTCCCTGCCCTGGTCTTGTGTAAAGGGTTGATTATGATTGGTCTGCCACCCTGTGTGAGAGAATTAGGTCCCAAGTGAGTAAATCCAGTATCTAAATTCGGCCTAATTCTCTCCATGCCAAGGAATTGGATGAGGATAGTCAAACTGGAGCTACACTCATTCTAACAGTTAAGAAAGAGTGATTATTTCCCCATTTCACAGATTAAAAAACAAAACAAAAAAAACCCCAAAACCAACAAAACAACAACAACAACAAAATACACAGAAGTAATTTTCTCAAGCCTCCTGAGGCCATGATAGAAATGCAGATTCTTTTAGCTCCATTCCCTGGCTTACTTGGGATGTGTCTGTGAAAGACCTCAGGCCCAGCATCAGGTGACTATCAAGTGATTCTGATATTCACAAAGTTCAAAAACCTTACAGAGCAATTCAGTAACCTGCCCACTCAATGGCAGAGCTGGTTTTTCAGCCCTGAGCCTTCTGCTGCTAAGTCTGCTGTCAGACTGTTTGAGATGCTAGAACAACCCTTTCTCTGCTTGTCTCAGTACCTGCCACGCCAGCTCACAATACGTTTTCTTTGGGTAGATGAGTGAATGAGTAGTGAATACTTGGATGAAAGACCTTACCTGCTGCTAGTGGGGTGGAGTCGGATTGAATTCCTGCACTGGGGGCGGGGGACGCTTCCATGTTACAGAGATGCCGACCTGAACTTGTTGCTTTCAGAAAAGCCACTGGCAGAAGATCCGAACCATGGTCAATCTGCCGGTCATGAGTCCTTTCAAAAAGCGCTACTCCTGGGTGCAGTTAGCCGGGCACACAGGTGAGCCTCTCAGTGCATGTGGGTGAGGTTGTCGCGACAGGAAGGAGCTGGATAGTTCTAACTAGTGCCCTTCTGCAGGGAGTTTCAAAGCTGCGGGCACCAGTGGCCTGATCCTGAAGCGCAGCTCGGAGCCAGAACACTACTGCCTGGTGCGGCTGATGGCAGATGTGCTGCGCGGGTGTGTTCCCACTTTCCATGGTGTAGTGGAGCGGGATGGTGAAAGCTACTTGCAGTTACAGGACCTGCTCGATGGCTTTGATGGGCCTTGCGTGCTTGACTGCAAGATGGGTGTCAGGTTTGTGTCCCCCTCTCTTGGTCGGGCAGAGTCAGTGGGGGAACCAAGGAACTGGGATAAAAGCTCACATGGGGGTCCCTGTATGCACGTCTTCGTGCTCTGGCTTCTACCTGCATCTCACAGGACTTACCTGGAGGAGGAGCTGACCAAAGCCCGAGAGAGGCCCAAGCTGCGGAAGGACATGTACAAGAAGATGCTGGCGGTGGACCCTGAGGCACCTACTGAGGAGGAGCATGCGCAGCGTGCTGTCACCAAACCGCGCTACATGCAGTGGCGCGAAGGCATCAGCTCCAGCACTACACTTGGCTTCCGCATCGAGGGCATCAAGGTGGGTCAGGGTTCCCTGACTATGCGCGGCTTTTTTCTGCCCCAATTTCAATGCTTGTGTGACCTCCTGCCTCAACGGCCACCAGGTGACGCCCTCTGGTGGCCATCTCTTGGTCCCCAGAGGTTAAGGCCCCAGGGAGGTACCACTGCCCTTTGCATGATCCTCTCTCCCCTCAGATGGGTGCGTGTCCCTGACACTCCTTGCCCACCTCCTTCAGAAAGCCGACGGATCTTGCAGCACTGATTTCAAAACTACACGAAGCCGAGAGCAGGTGACTCGTGTCTTTGAGGAGTTCATGCAAGGCGATGCTGAAGTGCTGGTGAGAGAAGGTTCCCAGAACTCTGAGGTTTGGGCGCACCTGTTTACAAGGGTACCTCTTGATTATTCTTTCTAACGCCGTTACCTATGCCATCCCCAGTGGTAGCGCTCCCCTTGTACTATTACTGTTCTTCCTCCTCTCCTGTGAGAGACACGTGCGGGGTTGTGTCTTCCTCACCACAGTATTTGGCAAGCTGAAACGCATGGCGCTTCTCAATGTCAGTAGAGTCTCCCTTGGTGTGAAATTAATTTGTCCACACTGACCCTTCCAGAGGAGGTATCTGAACCGCCTACAGCAGATCCGGGACACCCTGGAGATCTCAGATTTCTTTAGAAGGCACGAGGTAAGAGGTGGGTGGGCTCAGGGGCTGGGTTTGTGTTTTATGAAAGAGAGGATGGAAGGGGGCTCTCTGGGAAAAGCAGGTGGCCTGACTACCATGGGGGTCGGCAGGTGATTGGCAGCTCACTCCTCTTCGTCCATGACCATTGCCATCGTGCTGGTGTATGGCTCATCGATTTTGGCAAGACCACGCCCCTCCCCGATGGCCAGATCCTGGATCATCGGAGACCCTGGGAGGAGGGCAACCGTGAGGATGGCTATTTGCTGGGGCTGGACAATCTCATTGGCATCTTGGCCAGCCTGGCTGAGAGATGAAGCTGAGCCCTTGTCCCACCTGCTTGGGCCGGCTGGTCAGACAGATGTGGACCTGTGGCTGCATCCCCATAATGCATGCCAACAAGAGACTGGAACCCCGCTGGGCGGGCAGTTCACATGGTCCTGCAGGACCAGGTGCCATCCACTAAGGGGGTATACTACCAATACCAGGAGTTGGCCTCCACACAAGCCTGTTTTTAGAGCTGAATGACACTAGTTTACAGGAGGGGAAGGAAACAATGGGCTTCTCCCTTGACCCAGCTCTTCTCAAGTGGCTTTGCACCTCTCTAGAGGGACCAGATCCAGAATTTTATTTCACAGTGTATAAGACTTCCTGGTCTACCCTCCTACACTACAGTGGACACCCTTCCTAATAAAACTCAAAGACACAGCTTCTGTGGCTCAAGCCTCTTCCCCTTCACTCCTGGTCCTCTCTTCCTTAGTTCCAGACTCTTTCAAGTTCACTCAGAGAAATGAAAAGGGTTTTTTCTTGTTGTTGTTTTGCTTTTTAATTATTATTAAAACATGTGTGCCATCAGGGATGGGCCAGATGAAAGGTACTTATGGGGAGAGGACAATCCGGGATTCCCAACTGAGTCCTGCAGTGGTGGCCTCTGGTTCCAAAGAGTGAGGGTGGCCAAGCCCTTCCCCAAGAGGGTTTGGGCTGGTTTCCAGTATGGAAAGGCCAGGCTGCCAGGACAGCCCAGAAACATGTCTAAACACGCAGCACAGACTGCAGGGGGCAGAGGCTACTGGAATAACAAGCCATCTAGATGCCTGGAAAGGAGTGCAAGGAGGAGCCATTGCTGTAGTCAGTGCCCGAGTCTTCACCCTTAGGATGGGGTCCAGGAACCGTATGTGGGGTTCCAAAGGTTCTGAGGCCGGAGGTGTCTGGATTTGAGGGCCTTAAGGCCAGAGGGCAGCCAAGAGCCTAGAAGGCCTCCTCCCCAGCTTTTGAAGTTCTCTGAACTCAGTTCCAGGGCCTGTGGGGATCTAAGACTTTCCAATGACCTGTTCCCCAGCTCAGAAGCCTCTTCCTCCTCAAGAGTCGGCCCTAGTTCCACTGGCAGGGGTGAATTCAGCACATCAGGATCCTATAATGGGCGAGTGGGGGAACAGGGAACAGGCTTTCTTCCTGTCCTACAGAACCAGGATAGTTAGAGGGGATCAAAGGGGTATGCGAGTTGGGGGGCAGAGGCACACCTGAGTGCAGTACTGGAGGCGCTCCAAAATGCTGGCAAAGTCAGGGCGGAGCTCAGGTTGATGCTGCCAACACTGGGTCATGATTCTGTACCTAGGGAGGGGCAGGAGTTTATATTTCCTAAAATCTTGAGGGACCTCCCTCCCTGGGCAGCACTGTTAACTCACACTGGCACAGGGCAGTTCCTAGGAGGGTCCATCCGGTTCCCTGTGACAATGAAGTCTAGAACCTCCTGGTTGGTATGCCCAGGGTAGGGCATATAACCCAGTGAGAAGATCTCCCAGAGCAGTACCCCAAAAGACCTATACCACAGGTGGGAGGAACAAATGAGAACCATCAAGTTCAGCCTTCTCTGCTCTCATATGAAGTGGTCTGAAAGGTAGGGTTAGCCTCAGGGCGGAAGGCAACATAAGGGAGCCATGCTATTACCAAGAGTCGGTCTTGGATGTGAAAATACCCTCCAGGAGAGCTTCTGGGGGCATCCACTTAACAGGGAGCAAGGCCCGGCCCCCCTTGCGGTAATAACTGGCCCTATAGGAAAGAGAGGGAGTGTGATGAGTTTTTCAAATACTGTCAAGTTGCTGTCAAGTGAGTCTCCTCGTAGCAGCAGCTTTCCCACCTCCCCAATTGCTGCTTACCGGTAAATATCTCTTGCCATTCCAAAGTCTCCAATCTTAGCCACCCGGCTGGGTCCAGTGCAGCTCAGCAGACAGTTACGGGCGGCAATATCTCTACAGAACAGACAAAATAATCACTGCCAGTACTCAGCTGCTCTGGGTCTTCCTGGTGTGTTTCTTTAAAAGTTGTATATGGGGATGTTCCTTGTGGGGCTAAGGGTCTCCTGAGTCAGGATTGCTTCCAACCTGTGGATAAAGTGATTTTCTTCCAGGTAGTGGCAGCCCTGAGCTATATCCTGTGCCATCTTCAACAGGTCCTGCATGGCCAGAGGTGATGGCTGGCTCTGGATTGGGCAGAAGGTACATAAGTGGATCCTGGCCTTAATTACAAATGGCTAGGGTCTGTGAAGCTCAGAGAAGGGTTTTACCGGGTGTGGTCGGCTATGTCTCAGAAAACTCTTCATATCCCCACCAGACATCAGCTCCAGCAGAATAAGACGAGGGGCAGCCTGGAAGCTGAGCCCCACACAGCGTACGATGTTCCGATGGCTGAACTTGCTGAGTAGGAATGGTGCATATGCCCCATCACCAGTAGGGAGATGAGCATTTTCTAGATCCCACTAAACTACAGAAAACCTCTGTGCCCTAGCATGCTGCCTCTCAGCCCCACAGGAGAGGCCATTCCCCCCGTAGGCAGGCCTGCCCCCTCCCACACCCTCATGCCTGCTGCCCTCAGGTGCACCTGATGATGAGAGCCTCCATGAGAAAGTCCAACTCATCCTGACGGGAGCAGAGCTCTGGCAGCATCTGGGAAGAAAAAGTAGAACATTCCTGAGCTGAGTGCTTTAGGAGGGTGATTAACAAAGGCTGTGGCTCCAGTCCATCCCTCCATGGTGTCTACCCCAACCGGAAGCCCTACCCTTCTCACCTTGATAGCCACCTGCAGAGGGCTGGAGTCCCCAGGAAGACCAATTACTAGTCCCTCATACACCTCCCCAAAGGCACCATGGCCAAGGGCTCTACAAGAAAGAAGTTGGAAGTGACTGGGTGGCACTGACAAGGTCTATAGATGGAGCAGTGTCCCTTTATCTCTTTGGTTCCCACCCCATATGTCCAGATGACCGTATCTGAGCTCTCTGTGGGTCATGGGAGTTCTCAGGCACAAGCTTGCAAAGATAATGAAGAGAGAGCGGATGGGCCCAAATCAGGTTGCTAATGTGGGATAAGGCTTCTCCTTGTGCTAATGCAGGCCCTGCTGGAAAAAGGCAGCCTGTGGGTTTCAGACAGTCATGTTCCCAGGTCTCTATCCAGATCTGGGACAAAGGCTGACCCTTCACACATTACTTTGCCTTTTGGAGCTTGTAGGGTTTCTATTGCCTCTTTATAATGGATTTGGGTTGGACGCTCTCTGGGATTCATAAGGCAGGAAGAAGGATGGGAAAGGGGTTCAGGGTGCATACCATCTCAGAAGGAGGGAGAGAACTCACCTGAGCAGAGTGACATTGGCTGGTGAAACCTCAGTGAGCCCTGGGGGCAGAGGCCAGGACTGAGCAGGGCTGAGCCCCATCTGGCAGTAATAGGGATTGGGGGCTGTCCTGATGGCAGAGGTACGAAGCTTGCTCAACTCCAGCTCAGGGCCTGGCAGCCTGGTCCCCCACAGGTTCTGCCACCTCTTCTGGCTCACTGTTGGTGAGAAGAACAGAGGCATACCCTCTACCTACACCCACGAGGCCCACTCTGCTTCCCTGTGCCCAGAACACTTTCTAAAAGTCCTTTCAGATACATATTTTACCCATGACTCCCCAGCTTCTCCTAAAAGTCTAGAGGAATCTACCATTGCTCTGTGGGAATAAAGGCCCTGAAGTCAGCCACATTTACCCTAGAACCACAAGGAAGCCCATCACAGCCTAGCAGAGAAGGGCCAGCCTGCACAAGCATGCCTGCTAGATGCCCATACCTAGAATCAGGACTCCACACATCAGGACACTCAGTGTCAAGGCTGTCACTAGAGCTCCCATCAGAATCAGGGGGCTTGTGGTGGTTGGCAGGTCTAGGGAGAAAGAAAGTCACGCTAGCAGGCATCAGGAGGCTCCGTTGTCTTTCTACCCTCAAGTATTTTTCTTATTTGTTTTATGGAGTATTTGTTTGTTTGTTGAAACAGTGTGATGCAGGCTTGTCTCAGACTCTCAATTCTGCTTAATCTACTCACTTCTGGGATTACAGATGTGTGTACCATGTCTGGATACCCTTAAATCTTACCCATGCTTCAAGTCTCAGCTCAGTGTTTACTTTTCCACAATGTCACACATCTAGACAAAAGCAACTCTCCCTCCCAAGAAGCCCTTAACTATTTGATCCTTCCATAGCAACTGCCATTTTTAGATACAGATCTATATATCTAAATATCCATCTTGCCTCCCACACTAGCCTACATATTCTTGACAGTGGAGTGTGTCCCGATACATTTCCAACCCTCTACCTGGCACTCCATACAGTGCCTGGCACACAACAGGCCTTTACATTGTCTTTCCCAATGCCCTACTGCTCCTACCAGCCTGTGACCCAGAAGTCTGATGGAGGGCAAAGACAAGACACACCCATGCAAGTGATGCCATCCACAGCCAGCTCCATGCCTTCTGGGCATATGCATTCAGTCATCTGGAGCTCTGCCTGCCACTGGCAGTCTTTGAACAGGCAATGACTACAGTTGGGGTGCTTTCGGATTTCCACCTCCCCATGGCCCTCTGTGACTGTGAGTGAAAGAATAGATACAGATGGGATGAGACATATAGGACTTTCTAGACACTTGGTTAATTCAAGCTCAGGAGTTTAGGGTAAGCAGCAGTACCAACCACACCAGCATGCAGGGTGATGACCGAGCCTGGGGACTTTCGTTGTTGTTGATTTTATTCAGAAGCAGAGAGTGGAGTGCATGCACATGCTTGAGAAAATCAGAATTCAGTTTTCTTCTTCCACCATGGATTTTTAGCAACAAACTCAGGTCATCAGGCTTAAGTGGGAAGGGTTTTACTAGCTGAGCCATCTTGGCAGCCCAGCCTAGGGGACCCCAGTCAAGCCTGTACATTACATCTCTGGGACCCTAAAGCCCTAAGGTGTTTGGAGAGAATTCATAGCAAGGATACTTGACTAGCAGCTTACAATACTAGTACTAGAGTTACAGCTCACAGATATTTCTCAAATGTTCCTGTGCCATTTAAGAACTGGGTATCTCCCTTGCTCAGCCTAGACATAGGGGAGGGGTGAAGTGCATTGGTCCTGCCTCAACAAGATGATGGGACAGACTTAGTAGACTTCCTAGGGGAGGCCTTACCCTCTCCGAGGAGCAGAGGAGAGGTGGGGTGGAGGGAAGTGGGAGGAGAGGAGAGGGGGGGAACTGGGATTGGAATGTGAAAAATTAAGAAAAAAAAACCAAACAAATAAAACAAAACAACAACAAAAGAACTGTGAATCTCAGCTCAGAGCAGATAGTACCTATGGTTGTGAGTCCAGGGATCCAGGAGGATGGCTGGCCAGACTGAGAGGTAGGAGGTTGGGGCAAATACCTGCCAATGGCTGCAGGTAGAGTTCGCTGCTGGGGTGTACAAAGGATATGCCATCTTCCCCATCAGCCCAGAGGATGTCAGACTCTGAAGTATCACCACCTTGAAATAGAGAGTGATAAGTGGTCTAACTACAAAGAGGGGCGGGGGAGGAGCACACAGCTGCCTCCCCCACAGTTGGGAAGCTGGCTTATGAACAGCAGGAAAGCTAAGATCTCCCGCTGTAAATCCTATATGGACTTCTTACAATGACACCGCCTTACAGATATCAAGGAACTAGAGAATCGGAAACTGGCTGTTCTGCTGGAACCCAAAGACCTGACATAGCTTGGGTGGGACACCCTTTGTCTGTCTGAGCCCTTCCAGACCCATGTACTCAGCCCACAAATTCCCTTTCTGTGTGAACAAAGGGATGTGTCATGAGCCCCTCCCCTGGAGTCATAGATTCTGGCCATGAATTTCTCTTTAACCATAGCAATTAATTTCTAACTAAAAATAAAATTTGTGTATTTACTGTGTACAATATACTTTGAAATGTGCATGTATAGTGCAATCACTTAAGCCAATCAACATAGGTACCACTTGTTGTTTATAGTAAGAACACCTCAAATCTACTCTCTTAGCCGTTTTGTTATTGGGACTAGGGATGTAGTCTAGTGGGAGAGTACTTCTCTAGCATGCTCAAGGCCCTGGGTTTGACAAACAGGCTGGGTTTTATCCCCTACATTGACAGAACCAAAAACATTGTTATTAATTGTAGTCACCATATTGAACTAAAGATTGAACTCCTATCTAATTACATTTCTTTTTAATGTTTGACCAATATCTTCCCAGATTCCAACCCTGAATTTGTATTTTTAACCACGTCTGTAATGACCATACTTTGAGGACTACTGACTTAACCCATCTTTTCCCTTTCCCTTCTCAGCTCAGCTTGCTAGCAAAGCCGGCTTACACTCCTTAGATTTTGACAGAGTAAGGATTTGGTTTGATTTGCAATTGATTTGGGCTTTTCTATTTTGCTTTTAAGTCAGGGTTTCTCCGCGGGGTCCTAGCTGGCCTAGAACTTGCAGAGATCTGCCTGTTTCTGCTTCCCAAGTACTAGGATTAAAGGAATGTGCTCCCAATCGTGGCTAATTTGGCTCTTTGTAAAGGACAAAACAAAACCAGCCTGTAGCCCAGCCTGTCCTCAAACTTTCTCTGTGGCTACTTAGCTTGAAATCCTTCTACCTCCACCACGCACGTGCAGGCGAGTGTGCCACCACGCCCAGGTCTGACCTTTCTAAGAGCATCTACTGTGGCCTGGCACGGTGGAGAGTGGGGCATTTCCAATCTATCCTCTGGAAAGCTTGGGCCAGGCTCTACCCTCACATCAC